ATTATGTCATCCTCAGGATCCATGAGCTGCGTTCGGGCCAAACACTGAAGGAGTTAAATGGACATCAATCTTTTGTGAATGATGCATCTTTCACTCAAGATGGATTTCACATTATCAGCGCATCATCGGATGGTACCGTTAAGGTACAGTGATCAACTGAGACACGATGCCAACTTGTAGTTTTTGACCGTGAAATGCAATGGTAAAAAAGAAAAAACAAAAAACATTTGAAGTAGGCCTACAAAATAAAATGTAATGTTCATTACTCCATTAGTCTGATATAGTTTCATGTCAGCACAAATCGTGCTGCATTTATTTCACACATCACACTTCTGCCCATCCACTTATTTATGCCCCCCCCCACAACAAGCCCACTTTATGGCAATAACTAAATTCTGTGAATGGAAAACTATTATTTGATTGCAAACAGTATTATTAATGGGTAGCTATGAAACAAATAAATGGATAAAAATGAGTTGACACAACAGTTGAAATTGGGCCGCACAAAGTAGTGATTAGTGCCTGTCTCAGAGTCAGAGGGTTCAAATCTTCCGTGCTCTCTTGAGTGGAGTTTGCATGTTTTCCCCGTGCTTGTGTGGGTGCCACGTTCCTTCCAACAAATCAGTGACAAATGATCATTCTGATTGACATTTTACATTTAGCTAAAAAAGCTTTTTACTTAGATTTGTTCCTGACTATCGGAAATTTCAGGAAAATAATAATTTTCCGGAACGGCTGGTGTATTACTGGGCATGTACGTGTCTTTTTCTGGCTACCCCGTAGTGACACTTAATTTCACTCTAGCCATCCCACGAAAAAAGTTTTGGCTTTGCCCCTGTAGACAGGAACTACAGTATTACCCGCACCAAATTGTCTTTTTTTCCCCCCCCACGCTTTCTCCAACCTGTTAGAATAGAATGCAATGACTAATTTGTCAATGTGGCTTCAAAATCTGTTTCAAGTGCCTCCTTCCAATCTGGGATGTCGAGAATTATTGTATTGATGCCTCATTGTTAAAATGAATTACGATGCATCTGAACGTCTTCTTGGCTGATGATTGTTCTGTGTGTGTGTTTTAGATTTGGAACAGCAAAACTTGTGAATGCATCCACACGTTTAAATCGCTGACGCGGGCTTTGGATGTCCCAGTGAACAACGTGATCACTCTTCCCCAAAATCCACAGCTCTTTGTGGTTTGCAACCATTCCAGCACAGTTGTTGTCATGAACACGCAGGGTCAGGTGAGAGGGATCAAATGACAGGTACAAACGGTTCTCCACGTTGAATCAAGTCACCATGTCTATGTGTGGAGGGAAATGAAATTAAGTGGACATACAATATAGCATCTGAAAATGTTCATTATTAACACGTGACATACTGTAATACACACAAAAAAAAAATCCAGCTTTTCAATTGACACTGGTCAACAAATCATTTTTTTTAATCAGAGGTGCAAGTAAACTTTAGATGATTTTTTTTTTTTGCATTGATTCAGAATCTGCCCTTGTTTTTCTATAGCACATCAGGTTTTCATAATAATAATAATAATAATAATGATAACTATAATATGTAATAAAGCAACAAATGTAGTGACATTTATGAATTATGGTTTAAGTCTAGCAATCGGTAGAATTTTTTTTTTTCCTGAAACGTCATAGCTACATACAGTGGCATGGTGAATGACTGGTTATCACAGTGCATAAGATGCAGGGTTCGATTCCGGCTCAACTCACGGCCTTTCCTTGGAATTTTTTATTATTTTTTTTACGAAGAGTATTTGAGTTTTTTTGCTTGGTTTCTTTTCAGACTGTCAAGACATTTAAAGCAGATAGAAAGTCGGGAGCAAAGTTTGTGTGCAGCACAGTGTCCCCACGAGGCGAGTGGATTTACTGTGTTGGAGAGGACTTAGTGCTTTACTGCTTCAACTACATGACAGCAAGGCTGGAGAAAACTCTGACGGTAGGCTCTGCGGAGAATACTCGTTCATTATCAAAAGCCCGCGGGGAGCTGTATGAAGAATGTAATTTACTCGAATTCAGGTTGCCAGCGTTATGTAAGAATTTGAGAAGTCTAACAAGAGTATAATGAAGACGGCTAGAGGAGAATGCGCTGATGAGCTTTTGTCCCCACTGCAGGTTCACGAGAAAGATGTAATTGGCATCACTCACCACCCGCATGAGAATCTGATTGCTACTTACAGCGAGGACGGCCTCCTGAGGCTGTGGAAGCCTTAGACTGACGATCGACTGAGGGCGTGGAGCGCCTCACATCCCAATGTGCAATAAATACTGAATCAAGACACTACACAAACCAGATATGAACAACTTTTTCGCAGTGAATTCTTGTAGAGCAAACTAAAGGTGTTTATACGTATGCATTCTTTAGCAGACCACACACCAAACCATCGTGATGCACAGATATACTAGAATTCTTCAGAAACTGCATGTGAATGCCGAGAAATGGCGGCGTACTGGTTCACATAGCTGATTGTTAAGCAGCTGGTTTGGGCCTACCCTGTGACTGACTGGCCTTTCGGCTGAACGTGGCAGCATACAGGAAATGGACGGGTGGATACAAATGAAGGCAACCAAACGGAAAAAAAGAGAATATTTTAGGATTATAATGCTGGTTACCACATCACAGCATATCGTCGCAATTTCGTGATAACATGTACCAGTCGATATGGCGCCAAGGAGCTGCATTCACATAAAATTTGGATTGGATTGGATTGGATACAACTTTATTGTCAAATGTGCTGTATGTGTAATGCAATCATGACATTCAGGTAATCATGCAGTCAGTATTCAAACAATAATAGCGTTGTCAAAAGGAGTTTTTCGTGAGCTGCAATATCAAATTAAAGAAAACTTGATTGGCAGCTGACTAATTTTTTTTTTTAATCCTCTGCACCTCTGTATGTGACAGAAAGGAGCAGGAGAAAGTTAAAATGAATATTCTGGGTGCAGGTTGCCAAGCTGACAACAAACCAATGAAAGTGGATTAAAGCCTTCCGTGAAAGCTCTTTTTAGTACAGTAATCAGGTCTTATTTTTTAAACAGATGGGGTTTTGTTTCCACGTATTTACATTTTTGGTCGTATCGTGTACAGTATGTGAATGTCAATCTAGGTCCTTAAATACTGTAGCCTACTTCCTTGTGGTTCCAACTTTACCAGCACAGTTTAAACTCTTTCATTTTCATCTCTTGTGTATTTAGAAATGAGAATGCATGATGGTGAACTGTTGTGAAAATACAGTATTCTCTTACAAAACAATGCCGGTTCTTTGTTTGACCGTAAACAAACAGCATCAGGAGTATAGTATATATATCTGTCAAACTTTTTGTTTCTAACACACTTTTGTAAATGTTTTTTTTCTATCCGTTTTTTTCAGTCTTGTCTGTTTCTGCATGCTACCTCAATGCTAAGTATCACTCAAATAGAGCTATTTTAGCATTTGCATGACAACAACACTAAAGTCTCAGTGAAGCTCCAGTGACTGACGTTTTTGAATTGTACCGTTAACGTGACGTCACATTACTCTTGCGTGGTCCGAAGCACACTCAGCAATGTAAAGGTGCAAATTTTATGACATGCTGTATCTCCCACGGTACTGCCAGTCACCCGTCACTGTTTTTATGTATCTATTATGTCATATAATATGTGTAACTGTACTACTGCTTGCCACAGTCAGAAATGATTATCAGTAAAATTCCCAAACCCTTTATAGAGTTGTTCGTGTTTGTATGCATACCTATTCACGTGGTATTTTAATACAGAGGCAAATGAGACTAAACAGGTCTCATTCATTGCTCTGTATTACCTCTATACATATATTTTATACGCAACAGCTCTCAAGGTTTTTTTATCTCAGCGTTCACCCGAGCTAGCACATGCAGGAGTGCCTCATCTTTCATAGTGGCTTTGGTGCCATCTAGTGGTTATATTATCACCGGTGTCACCAGGTAGCCATTTGAGTCGACCATGGGCCTACTTCTAAAAATTTCTCTTTTCTATGTGTGTTGTTGTTGTACTAAAAAAAAAGAGCTACACTTTTTGTTGGTGTACATTATAAAAATCACTCCAAGACTGGTGTAATTTTTTTTTTTTTGTGTTTTTTTTGGGGGGGGGGGGACAAATATAAAAGTCAGCATTGGAGCATATGACCAAATGATGGCGTTCATGGGGAAACGATATCGGGAGAAACTAGGATGAGGAGATTTCTTTTTCACCCCAACTAATTTGAGCAAACTGGTTGTCCTTCACATTATCAGTACCCAAGAAGTAATTAAGAGGTTGGTGACACCCGATGATCTAGCATTAATTTGTAGAGGCATCCGGCCACTCGGGGGTTTGAAATTGTACTGCTTTTGCATTTGCTATATCATCGTATATTAAAAAGGAAAAAGTGCTGTTACGGAAATCTATATGACTCAAGAAAAGCAGAAAAAAAAATACAGAGCATGTGTTACATAACGTTAGATTTATTGTTTATTTTTTTTAATCAATAAATGAAAACATACAGGCATCTACCAGAAGAAAAATGAACATATTTTTCCCACATCAATGCCGTTTGTGAAAATAGATATTAAAACAGATGTTTGTATATGTAAACCTCTGCTCATTATTGCTGGTATTAAACGCTCTTGAAAGTTGTGTAACTCTTCGTTAGCACAAATCTAAATAACATTACATCAGAGTATGAATCTCTATACTGACCAGCTTTTAAGATGCCCTCACCAGGATTTTTCAGAATTTTGATATAGATCAGAATTAGTTTCAAAGCAAATTTCCCAAGTTTATTTCAAGACTTCTTCAAAACGATTTCCATCGGATGGATTGCTGCAGGTGTGGAGTGCGCACGTAGCAAATTGTCTCCACTTTCTTCACTTTGTTTTGCAGCTGTTAAAGTGATGGCCTCTTTGGCTCTAAAGTTGTGACACATACGTTGTTGTGCATGGATGCATTTAACTGCATAATTAAAACAATTAAAAAGTTGTATTAGAGTATCTTTTATTGAGGTAAGAGGCGCACACCAGCAGCCCTACTTACCAACATGGCATTTTACACTCAACAACCAGTGCAACAACCACCATGACACGGGACAAAATTGTTAACTTGGAGGCCTTGAAGTCTTCTGTTGATTAAAACGTGTCACTTGAATTTCCGTATGTCTTTTCCTTAAGTTTATAACATGCTAATGTTTCAGGGGTGGTGGGGGGGGGGGGGTTCAGAGTAGACATTTAAGTAAGAACTAAACAAATGGGAGTTCCAAAAAGTTTTTATCTACACCTTCTACTCTATTGGAACAGCATTCTGGCTCGTGTTTTTATTTTTCCTTCTTTGCACCCGTAAAGTCATCCCTTTACTTGACAGTTACTAAAACAAATTAAAAACCATGATTGACATGGCAGCTAATTATGGTTAAACCAGTTAAATATTGAAATTCCAACTGATAAATAAGTTTCAAAGCAATGTTTAATTGCTTAGCTTTGTCAGTCACATTTTCAAGATCAAGAAAAGTTTATAAAATAGCCCTTTTAAAAGGGGAAAATATAATTGTGAAATCAAGACCGCATGCACACTGCATTTTAACCCATACACGCGATGCGCACGTTTGATTGAACAAGTCATTGACAAGATGGTTACAACAGCAAGTGATTCGGTAACACTCTAAAAGGTTATTCTACATGGTATTGGCATCGTAGCTGAACGCCCCCGCACTAAAAAGCATTAAGGGGACACACAGAAGACTTACGTTGCCCTCACCTTTTCTCACAATGTCATTACAGCAGCAGCAACAACAACAACAACAAAGTCCTTCAAACCTCCATCCAAGAATGACCATATTGAACACAGTTTTGTGGTTCATCTCGACAACTGAGAAAAGTAACAAAAAAAAAAAAAAAAAAACCTAACTAAAACAAACAAACAAAAGGTGCATGAGATTTTCAAAAAAAGGCGCTTAATTTTCAAAGATGAAGGTTTTGGAATGCAAGGTGGTTCCTTTAAGACGTCTGGCACTGAACACCTCCGGTGCTGGCATAGTCATCTTCATCCATGTAGTAGTTTTGATGCCTGTGTCGTTTTCTGTTCTCCAGGTCACACTCCTCAAGGTCGGCGTAGATGTAGAGGTCATCGTCCATGCTCTCCGGCTGCTCCGAGTCCACCTTCAGCGGAAGGTAGCTTTCGAGCTCCTTCAGTTTGTTCTTTGGGAGGAAGTTGGCTTTCGGGAACGCCACCTAGAGGGAAAAGTGTCGTCATTCCAATTGAGGTCACGTCACGCTTGGATGACATTGTGTGTCGTCGGTTGCTTGCAGGCGCAAACACGGCTGTCTTACGGAAAAGTGAATAATGAGTCTGCCTGTCTCAAACGGCCGGCGATACATCGGCATCCCCTCGTTGCAGACATACTTTGTGTCACCGGGTTTGATCAGTTCTCCTGTGGAAAAGGACAGTTTGAGATGTATCATCTGATTTTTGTCGAAACCTTTCCAAGAAGAACTTGAGACAGTCTGGTGGTTACCTGGATGGGAGGTAACGAGGAGAGTTCGGTTGTCAAGTGTCTGGACGGGCTTCTGGAAACCGCACAAAGCTTCTACCAGTTGCAACTCCATCGACATGGTCAAATCCTCTCCTTTCCTGGAAGTACATTCCAAAATTAGAACTACAGTAATGACGACGTTATGTTAACAATAATGACATTTATGGTCTGTTGAAAGAATTCTAAAATGAAGACTTCTTGTGCTTTCACATACTGTATGACGTGAAATGCTCCTGTTTTGTGTGTGTCATGTGTGTGACCATGTTACCGAGTGAAAAGGGGATGTTCTTGTAGGTCCAGGACAAAGATGATGTCGCCTGGCTCAAGACCTGGTTCCTGGTCTCCCTCTCCGTGGAACACAATCTTCTGCCCATCTCTCATTCCTGTGCAGTGTAACGTTTGGCTTTAGTTTGGGGATGACCTTCTCCAAGTAATGAAGATATTACATTCTGACTGGTTCTTCTTTTGCTCTCACCCTTTTCAATGAAGACCTCTAGAATCTTCTTCTGTCTCAGAATCTTCCGCCCTCCGCACCCTTTGCAGCGGTCCCTTTGACTGATTCGCTGACCTTGGCCCTGACAGCCGTGACACACTGTGGACACCTGCTGGACCATACCCGGCACTAGTTGGTGGACGCGTACCTGCATGCCCGTACCGTGGCAGGACATGCACATCTGGGCTGCCCCTTTGCGACTGCCACGACCTGCCAATAGAATATTCAACAAGCTGTCAAGTTTCAGTTTCTGTGCGATGACCGTTTCTTATAATAACAAAGGCCTTGTCCACAAAAAAAGTTCATTTTTAATCTTATTTCCAAATATTCTGGACTTTTGTCTGTAGTTGAATCGCTTTTCAAGACACTCTAATTTGACTTTTTGGAAAATGCCAAAGAAAGGAAATGTGTAGGTGGAAAAAAATACACACACACACACACACACACACACACACACACACACACACACACACACACACACACACACACACACACACACACGCCCTGTGGAATAGTCTATGAATTAAGATTTTTTTTTTAATAATTACTTCTGTCATCAAAAAGTAATAGACAAACTATTTTCTTAAAATGATCGCCTTGAATAACAAATGATGTCACAAGGCTGTTTTAGCTATGACACGTCAGTTGGGCAAAGGATAAAAGCAGCTATTCTGACATACTGTAGCTATCCAAGTCATCAGTTAGTAAAGAGAAGTCAAAAGGAAAACTTTAGAAATCAACTGAAGAAGCTCGGAGATGCCACTGGTATGTGACGATCATTATAATGGGGCGGCTGTGGCTCACATGGCAGAGCGGGTCACACAGTTTTTTTTTTTTACAATCCCAGCTCCGACTCTCCACTTGCCCCAAGTATCCTTGGGTCAGACACTGAACCCAAATTTGTTTGCGGTGGGCCTGGCAGCCTATTGGATGGAAGCAGCTGCCCACTGGCGTGTGCGTAATGAATTAATGTGAGTGTCTGTTAAACACTGAGCAACAGATGGTGTGGATAAAGCATGTCAAAAAGTGCACTCCAGTTACCATTTTTTATTGACTCTTTGGACATACCTTCACATTTCTCACAAATTGTATTCTTCTGGACAGAAAGTTTCCTTGTTGCTCCATTATAAAGATCTTCCAGTGTTACTGATATCTGGTGCACTATGTTCTTCCCTGCCATGAGAGGAAAAAATAGCAATTTAACATATATAAAATGCAGCACAAGGTTTCATAAGTCTGTCACTTTACAAAAACACATTTCTTAGGAACTTTCAAAGGTAGCAAGATAAAACTGTTTAGTTGAAGGGTGAAATCTTCCAAGTTTTTGCTGCAGTGCTCGTGTCAGGCCATTGTGATGTGACTTTTGCGTCACAATCACTGTTTTTATGTTTTGTGTAAAACGTGGCTTGTGCTGACTTCAATGCTATTTATTGAACATGCCGTTCACTGGAAAGGAGAATGCTTTTTGTGTTTTAAGTGTTTGATAAGAATGAGCCGTGTTCAATGCAGATTCCGGATAGAATTTGGAAAGCAGCCATCAGACAGACGTACCATACAAAAATGGTATACAACATTTAAGGAGGTGTGTTGTGCCCCTGAAAAAGAACTGGACGGCCACCGCCTGCTCCTGAAACAATTGAACAAGTGTGAAACACCTGCCAGCAGAGCCCCAGAAAGTGAAGACTGATACCAGAGTCATTGACAGTTATCCATCCCTTTTTGCAATTATCATTTCGATGTAACCAAGGGCTCGCTTTTGAACATTCAAGCGTTCAATTTTTTGCAACAAAAACGGATGATCAATAGCTTTCAGGACATATGTTGTGTTTTCTTTCACAGTTATTGAGATATAAGGTAAAGTTAAGTGACAGACTTGTGAAGCACCCTGTATTCATTAGTACATTTCAGCAAAATAAATACTAATACAACTCAGTGTCAGAAAATCAAGTGCTATATTTTCATCCACACCTTTTCTTTCTCTGTGCATCCGCCTCCCGCCTCCGAAAAACAAGTCGAAGATGTCCATCGGTGATGCAAATGTTCCTCCTCCGCCACCGGCACTGGGTCCACCTTCCTTTATGGCCTTTTCTCCTCCACGGTCATAAATCTCTCTTTTCTTGGCATCTGACAACACTTCATATGCTTGTGAGATTTGTTTGAACTACAAAGAATCCAAAAATACTTATTAGATGGGGACTACATGGCCGATGGTATTAATCTCTGTAACGTGTCAGACATAATTTTTGACACATTGTCCACTTATTACCTTCTCTCCTTCAGTCGGATTCTTGTCAGGATGATATTTCAAAGCAAGTTTGCGATACGCCCTTTTTAGTTCATCGGGAGTTGCATTAGGTTTCACACCCAACGTGTCATAGAAACCAGTTTCCTTCACCATGTTTGCCTTGGGATGATAACCTTGGAAAAACAGCGATAATGAAAACACATTTACTATTAAGTCCCCATATGTAGTTATAGGACATGCTACAAACTCAAACGACAGCATAATTTGTTTTACATTCATTATCTTTCGGGGCATAGAAACCAAGACATATCATGTTGACTAGTTATTCAATTCATTGACAACATCTAACCAATTCTAACCAAAGGCAATACAGTTATACAGGTTTAGGTTCACAAAATATGTTTAAATGATTGATGATGATTTGTCACGGATCGTTTTGACTATGCGTCCATGACAAAACGAAAATGACATTAGGGCTATTAAAATATTGTCACGTGAAAAATCACAGTTGTTTGAGAAAAAAAATGGAAAGACGCAACTAACTCAAGCATCAGCTTTAATTCTATTTTACTTGTCAATCAAAATTTAATCGTGGGTACAAAAGAGTAAGAAACTTAGGACCACGTAGCATTGGCAAAGGGTTCACAAGGTTTCGTTTCTCCGGCCCTGCTTTCGTTAACCTCGTAGCCCGATCATTGTAGAGCTAACGCTAACATGCTAGTTTAAGATATGCTGGTAATATTTCTAACACTGGGCCATTAACGGAATTGATACGATAACATTCATTCGCAAGTTTGTAACAAAGAGTTCCAACCTTATTGGAAGCAACACGTTGACACCACCAATGAGTCAAGCAAGGGCTTCAAATTCCAGAATTTTCTCTGCCATGGGGCAAGCACTGCGGTGACGTCATCAACAAGCGTCGCCAGGAGTCAACAAAGCAAGCGTGGGCAGGTTTGCTAAAGTGACTGTAATATATTCGGTACATTTGAAATGGTAAGATGTCAATTTGTCAGCTTGTTAGTCAAGAAGAAACGCACAAACCCATTCTGCTGCCTCACCTTGAGTCAGTTATCCTGGGTCGTGGGCCGCAAACCACAATTAAAGACAAAAAATGCTCCAGGGAACAAGGTAATAATGTACGAGCTTTTCACTTGTGTGTATTCATAGCGTTTGAGTTTGTTCCAAATTATTTTATCTCAAGGTTTTGTTTTGGAGTCTTAAATGTCAAAATTCCGATTTGCACACACGCACACTGGGTGACATTTTACTGTAGTAGCATACTGAATACTTTTCAGACTTTACCACTTATTTTCTCAGGGTCATTTAAAATGTCACGTATTCAATTTATTCGTTACGAATTTTACTCAAGCTATCCCTTCCTCATCAGTTGAATTGAAAGCAGACTGCAGCAAAGGTTTTGTGAAAGTTAAACAGGTAAGAGAAAATGCAAAAATGTCTAACAAACACTGCATAATGCATACTCACAATCAACCGGTTTTTGTTAGGTTTTTTTGTAGGGGCGCTGATTACTGAATTTCTTTCCCATTTTTATTCCACAGCTGGGTGCAAACCCCACCTCTGTAGACTCTGTGGTTGTGGGTCATGGGAAAGAGGTCAAACTGATGCCAGGCCAGTTACTCCACATTGTCAATGACTTGTACCCATACACTGTACAGTTCAAGGAAGATCCTGGTAGTTGTAAAAGACCATTAGATGTTTCCTCAAAGGATGAAGAAGGCTGTCCTGAGGCTCCCAGTCTAAAAGCGGCCAAAAAACACGAACACCTGCCTGAGTCTGTCAGAGCTGAAGAGTCAAGGGAGATCAATGTAAGACATTTACAACTGAGGATGTTGTGATGATATATGAACTGTTTTTTTAACTTGGCTTTTAACAATTAAAGTATAATTGTGATTTAGTTGCATGATGGAGCCATCTTTGACATATCCCATTGACGTCATGATGATCAGTCACGTACAATAAGTCAAAGATAATAATAGTTACCATATTTGCTAATGTAGTGCCCAGTTCCGGATGTACATTCGGGTAAAGTTTTTTGGAGTCATGGGGAGGTCTTTGTGTCTTACTGAATTAAGTAATAATTATAATTATATATTTGTTTTGTACTATGGCCTCCTACACTTGGGGTGCATTCTTGTCTTAACATCAGATCTCAAGTTTCTTCCATTCCTGGATTCTTATCCGGTCACTTTTGAAATATTAGCAATATACTGTGCTGTATATATACCATAGAATATTCTATTTGAGGTGTGGCCTTTATTTATTCCAGTGGACAATGCACCCTATGATTGATTGAGGAGCAAGGTTTATTTGAGGAACTGTGGTAAGTCACAGCCAAAAGCTAAAGTCCAATTTAATGTGTTGCAGCAAAGTGTTGCACATTGGAGCCAAGGGCTAAAGGCTTCGATGCAAGACCCTAATATGCAGGTCCTTTAAAAATAACATTATCATCATCAATAAATTACAGTTATGGTTGTATGATTAATGTGTATTCTCTGAATTCTTCTTGTAGGTGTTTAAGGATGATAAAGTAGTTGTAATCAAGGACAAATACCCCAAAGCACGTTACCATTGGCTGGTTCTCCCATGGATATCCATCCCCAGCCTGAAGGCCCTGCGGGATGAGCACTGCAGCCTGCTCAAGCACATGCAGAAAGTAGCTGACCATATGGTTCAACAGTGTCCGCATGCAAGTGCCTTGGACTTTCGCAGTGGCTACCATGCCATCCCAAGTATGAGGTAACCGCCCGGGGCTTTTGGTGACCCCACTAAGCTGTTGTGCTGTGTGCGGAGTCCAGCAACTGCTTTCATCAGCGTCAGAATGTCTCGGCCACTAGTTTTGCGGGCCATTCAAAATTTGAATCGCATTTGCACAATGTGCCGATGTTGCAAATTACAGCCAAGCTATCACACATGGTAGAAATACGTTTCTGGGTTTTATGCCAGCGAGACACAGCTAACTGCTGCTGAGCCTTAAAAATGCAGAAAAGAGTACCTGTATTGTTTTACAACAAATCTTCACCATATTTAATTTCATATGTGCCTGTGGATGAAATCGTAGCTTGTGGTAAAAATGTGAGTGAGCGGTACGTACCGTGCCAGATTCATTTAAATAAATTGGAGCAAGCCCCATCTCTCAATGCGTCTTTATTACCTCCTACATCCCTTCTCTGCAGCAACTTGGGTCTTCCTTTAACTCTTGTCTTCTTATGGATTAAAAAAAAACAAAAGGCACGGTATTGCATAAACTGAATGCTACCTATACAAGCCCGTGTCCATACAACAAATTACCCAATGTGCAGGGGTAAGTGGCCGAACTGTCATTTTTTTGTGATGGTCCGGCCCTATTCGGGTTCGGAAGCATCACGTAGTGTGTGTTGGCCCAAAATCGGATGTCTAACAATAATTCCATCTTGCTTATAGAAAGACATGCATTGAAGAGGTAGCCATTTTAATTGTAATATACCCTGGTATAATCTTCACACATGCACGCACACATATTTTGTGTTTTTTCTCCGACAGTCATGTGCACCTCCACGTGATCAGCCAAGACTTTGATTCTCCTTGCCTTAAGAACAAAAAGCACTGGAACTCATTCACAACAGACTATTTCATCGAGTCTCAAGGTGAGATAAATACAGTATATTGTTCTTTGTAGGGCTGCAACTAACGATTATCGACCAATCTGTCAATTATTTTGTTGATGGATTGGACAAAAAAAAAACACGTTTTAAATTCCATTTCTTCAAAAACAGGATGCTATTTCAAATTGGAAATACACTATGAATTAATTACAGGATGATTCACTTCCTGGTTTGGTCTGTAACGTCAGAAAATTGGCAAAAAGGTTATCGTTTTGACTTTCATCTTGTCATTTTACTAGTTTTATTAGTATTAGTAAAAGCAGGTATTGGCAAATGTGGTGTTTCAAAAAAATGAGGGCTGCGCAATATATTGAAAAAATATAATTCTCGCGATAATAGCCTATGCAATATGCATATCCCAAAGACCTGCAATGTTTCATATGGAATTGTACGATTATATTTAACTTTGACCAACCATAAATGTAAATCGCCATCCACTATGTGAACGGTATCTAGGGGAATTATAATGATAAAATTTACTATTGTTTCGTGTATCCAGGTAATATTCTGATGATACAGATAGCCTGCTAATTTAGTGTTATCGTACCTAAATACTTTTTCATCCCCACTAGTCTTGCAAATAAGTTAGTTGGCTTTACCGCAAGGATGTTTTTCCTTGTTTGGGTCTGTCTTTTTGTCGCTAATAAATTGGCAACAGGGATTATTTTGTGCTCTTTTATTGTGATTTCTCTGCAGATGTCATCCATATGCTTGAAACGGATGGAAAGGTCACAGTAAAAGAAGGCACCAGTGAGTTGTTGAAGCTGCCTCTGTGTTGCCACTTGTGTCGCAAAGAACTTCCCACGATACCAGCTCTGAAACAGCATCTCAAGTCCCATTTCTTGGCTAAGAATAGAACCTCAAATGCATCATAGTACCTCAGATGTTTATCACTTCTTTGTGGGACATCTGGGATTGGCCGGTGAGCAATCCCCGTGCCTTTTAGCCAAAGTTAGATGGTGTTATAGGCACCATTGGTAACGTGCTTCTTTTTCCACATTCAGAATCTTTTTGATTATTTTGTAAAACTTTCAATGTAGATTAAATATTAAATATCTGTTCTACTTTGTAAATGCTTGACTCAATATTTTTAATGTTTATATGTGTGTTTTGAAAAGTGACCATTATGTAATAACATTAGTCCATAATAATCTCAGAAACTGTGGTCTATACACATGAACAAACAATAAACAACATTTCATAGTTGTTTAAAATTTTGGTGTGTTCCCTTAATTACAACCTACTGACTGTGAAGAACCAACACCATAAAAATACTAGATTAGGGTATGTATAAACAGTTTTTAGAAGACAAAAATCGGTTTGAAAAGCTTTTTGAGTCTATATACAGTTGTGGTTGAAAAATTGCAGCACTACTGCCTTTAGTCACAACCCAAGTTGAGTAAAATGCAATAGCATTTGGAAATAACTACCGGTATACTATTGAGCATGCTTTTTTTTTTACTCTCACTATTAAGACTAAATTCAACGTCAATAGAAAATGCAGCAAAATATTCTTGCACTTTCAATTTGACACATTTTGTAAAAACAACTCTCTGCAACAGAAAATATGTTGAACGTCCGCAAAAAATAAAGACACAAAAACGGAAAAGTTGATGTGGCCCGTACGGGGATCGAACCCGCGACCTTGGCGTTATTAGCACCACGCTCTAACCAACTGAGCTAACCGGCCACTGTACGAGAACCCCGTGCATATGGATTTAATAGATTAACTATGCATAGCTGCAAATTGGTAGGAAAAACACTGATGAGAGAGGCGCTCACATTTTTTTGGTAGTCAAGGAGTATCGACTTATGCTCGAAGTCCAAGTTTATCACTGGACTACGTTTTAACCACGGTCCAAAATGTTTTTGTCATGTCAAGCGCCCGCTGCACGCCTTTCAGCACTGCATTTGTCATGTCTATTAGCACCCCCTACCTGTAAAAAGGTCATACAAAACGCTGAAAGACTACTTCCACATCGCGTTAACCATCTGACGAGCTTTAATATTAAATTTACCATCTACAGCAGTGGCGGATGCTGGTCTGTCAAGAAGGGGAAGATCAATTTCGGGCTACATCATAAAATGCGTCTGTTTATTTCTACGTGAATTCTACTCTCCGTTCTTTTTCAAGAAAATGATCTGTGACCCTGGCATACCAACAAGGCGTCTTTTCCAGGTTCTTAACTGTGATGATATAAGTCAGTCTGCGAACACAAGCAACTACAATAAAACACACCAGAAATAAAAGATTAATCTGTCGCTAGTCGTTTTCAACAAAGAGTGTTGCCATTCGAGATTACTAGAAGTCTCCAGTTCAACTCAGAACAGAATGAGAATTGAAAAATGCTCACACGGATGCCTACACCAAAAGATCGGTGATTGGCTCATTTTGCTGTCAACCATAACGAGATTCTGCCTCAGACAGATCATCCAATCCTCATGCAGAAAGCTCAGCGTCCAGGCGCGGCCGATACACGCCCACTGTCCATAGACTCCCAGAGACGACGGGCGTCCGTGGGCGGGACAAAAACCAGTTTGTATCCAATGACTCGTCTCCGTTCAACGCATTGATTGGGACAACCCTGAACTCGCGAGACGCCGGGCATCCGGGCAATTGACGCTCTGCGGACGTTCTGCGGACGTTCGGCGTCCACCGTTTAAAGCACAGCGAAGCTGGGGGAATGAATGAGAAGGGAGTCGCGTCGTAACCAGTAAGAAGAAGCTGATTCGGAACAAAAGTTGAGCATGTTGTAGCGCATATTTAGTCAATGACATGTACACACAATGAAATTTACATTCATATATTTGGTCACTTATTCTTTGACATTTTAGGGCAAGCCGAGCTTCCCTTGCAGTCCGAGAGCAATCGCCACTGATCTACAGTGGTTTATTTCCCCTGAGTTTTTTGCGGGGCTAAAAGTGGAGATTTCATAACATTGTATGACTAAGTGATGTCAGCCTAGAAGTAACAACTGTCTAACGTTTTTCATAGGGTGTGCAACAAATGAGTGCTTTCTTCTGAAGAACAACATAAATTAAGACAGAATATATTCTGTTCTACATTTTTGCAACTGGTATTGTCTATATGTTATAATTGGTTTTTAAGGCTTTTTACATGTCAAAGAAGCAAGTGTAGGATTATTATTAATGGTAATATGTGTTTTAAAACACTGATGTATTGCTTAAAATGAAGAACTTGATACAGAAAACCTATCCATTGAGTTGCATTAGCATGCGACACCAAGTTAGCATTTGCCTATATTGCCTAATGGGTGAAGTGGGTGTGGAATTTAATGATATTATGTTTACTATACAATAATTACACCTTTTTTAATTATCGGCAAGACAAACCTAACACAACAGCCTGTCATGGCAATCCTGCCCCAAAGTGTGACTGAGCAACAGCGTAGCACGTTTAAGGATGACACAAGCAAATAAAAACTTAAAGATTTATTTTCATAAGACACACACAAATTGAAGTAACCTGTATAGATACGCTCTGCTGCCACGTGATGACAGGAGTACAAAATAATTTCAGTAAACACACATGGTACCATTATGATGCCAATATCAACATTCAGGAGTAGAAACAAAATAGCTTATGGTCCACCTGATTCCATCAGACAGCTTCTTCAACAGTTTTGAAGTTAACATGGATGAGTTGCTTTCGGTTAGGTCATCTTCTCCGCAGACGTAACTCCATGTCACCTTCCACTGGCACCAAGAGATGGTCCACTGAGTATTGGGTGTCGTCACCTATGTCCTGGAAGAAATACTCTTCACTCTCACAGCTCTCATCCCCATCCTTGCAGTCTTCGCCTTTACTTTGGTGTACTTCAGTGCTTTCATGACTGTTGCTGTCTTTGGCCTCACTGCTTTCACTGCTTTTGTGGCTGGTGCTGTCGCTTGTCTTGCTGCTTTCGCTGCTTTCTTCACTGGTGCTGCTGCTGGATGCATTGCTCTCACTACTAGTGGAGTCATCATCTTTCGTGGTGTCACTGGACTCACTGCTTTCGTAACTTGTCGAGTCACTGTCCTTAGTGGTTCTGCTGCTTTCCCGACTAGTAGTGTCGCTGGATTCACTGCTTTTGTGGCTTTTGCCGTCATTGGACTCACCGCTTTTATGCCCCGTGATGTCGCTGGCCTTTGCGGTTCCACTGTTTTGACGAGTGACGATTTCACTGTTTTGACGAGTGACGATTTCACTGGACTCGCTGCTTTCATGACTGCTAGTGTCATTGGATTCACTGGATTCACTGCTGTTACTTGTGACGTAGCTAGTTTTGTTGGTCTGAATGGTTTCTTCACTGGTGCTCTCACTGCTGTCAATCACACTAACCAGCGAGGTCTTGAAGTCGTAGTTCATTTTACTAAGCTTGACTGCATCACGAGTTTCACTACTGGGGTTAACTAATGGGGCTTTGATGGCATAACTTTTGCCATCCGTTTGACTTGACACACTGCTGGTGCTCTCATTGGACTCACTGCTGTCATTTATGTCGCGGGTCACTTTTCCATTGCTGTCAGCGCTGGCGGTTTCAGTGGTCACGCTGGTCTGAGCTGTTTCTTCACTGCTGCTCTCACTGCTGTCGGTCACATCACGTCCCAATGAGCTCTTGGTGGAATAGGTTACTTCGCTGACCTTCAATGTCTGATGGGCTTCACTACTGGAGTTGTGATGAGCCTTACCAGACTCGATGCTTTCATCACTGGCACTCTCGCTGCTGTTGTCTGTCTCAGTGCTTTCTTGACTTGTGCTGTCATGAATGCCACTTGATTCGCTGCTTTCACTACTCGTGTTGTTGCTGGCCTTACTGGTCTCACTGCCTTCATTGCTGGTTCTATCACTATCCTTGCCGGTCTGACCAGCTTGCCCACTGATACTCCCACTTTTAAAGTAAATAACTTTATTCACCGATGGGCTCTTGATGATAGAACTTTTGTTGCTGGTTTGACTTGATCCATCGCTGTCACTGATGTTCTCATTGGACTCGCTGCTATGACTGGCCTTCATATTATCACTGATGTCACGAGTCACAGTTTCATTGCTGTCATCACTAATGATATCAGTGGTCACGCTGGTCTGAGTGGTTTCTTCACTGGTGCTCTCACTGCTGTCAATCACATCACTTACCAAAGGGCTCTTGATGGCATGCCTTACTTCAATGACCCCAACTGTCTGCTGGGCTTTACGACTGGGGCTGGGAGTAGCTTGACTGGACTTGTTGCTTTCACCAGTTGCACTCTCATTGCTTTCATGACTTGTATGGTCATGGGTGTCACTTGTTTCACTGCTCTCACTACTGGTGTCGTCGCTGGCCTCACTGGTCTCATTGCTTTCACTGTTGGTTCCGTAAACACCCTTGGTCTGACCAGGTTTTCCATCGTTGCTCCCACTTCTGTAAATAACTTTGTTCACCAAAGGGCTCTTGATGGTATAACTTTCGTGATTAGTTTGACTCGGCCCATTATTGTCACTTCTGGTGGTCTCATTGGACTCGTTGCTGTCACTACTGGTGGCCTCGCTGATGTTACTGCTCTCGGTGCTTTCTTTATTTGAGCCGTCGACGCTCTGATTGGTTTCACTGCTGGTGCTGTCACTGCTGTCAGATTCATCACTCGCTCCCTGGCCCTTGATGTCATGGCTCATGTCACTGGCTTCATGGCTTTCGCTACTGACAGTCTCATCACTGTCACCAGTGTCAGCTGTGTTACCAGTATTGTTTCCTGTGTCCTCTTCTTTGCTGGTGGTGTCCCTGATGTCAGCCTTGTGCTGCTCTGACTGACTCAGGACTTGGTTGTCAGTACTCACAGAAGCTGGATTCCAACTCTGAAGCAGAGAAAAAAAAGCCTTTGTGTTACTTGAGACATTTTTATATCGTAGGTTACATTTCAGTACACCACAATGTGGCTTGCATGGCCACTTTCAGGTGTGCAGGAGCCAGTGGCATCCATTCATTTCCTATGCCCTATATGGTATCCTTACTAAAA